CACTCGTTTACAAGACATGTGAAAATCAAATACGAGTACTTATTTACATATTATATAATTGTATAAATGATAAATTACATTCAAGTCGCAATATAATGATTGCTTATGTCTGACAAGGTTCACTTATTGTGTTTTGCTTTTTTTGTTTATTTTTTTATTCATATTTTTTTATAATCAACATTTACTCTGCACATAGCCTACCACTAGTATTCGATGCTGTTCGCTTGAAGCTAGTATTACTTTGGTACTTTTTTCATAGTTTTTTATCAACTACTCATACTTGACGTCGTAGAGTGGAATTCGCTTTCACCGAATTCCTACTATAATTCTAGGAATTTAACAGGAAAAAAATTTAAATTTTAAATAAAATTTAATTTACATATACATAATTAATCGCAGATTTCCGTTTTGAATTTCTGTTGAGCCCAGCGAAAGTTGAGACTTCCTGTTTTTATTTAGGGGAAGGAATTCCCGTAATTAGTGGTGATTCAGAGCAGGGTTGTTGCATATATTCGCATTCGCAACCGCGGAGCTTCCGCATTAATTTTAACATTCGCATTCGCGTTCGCAATAATCAATGCGGAGCTTTTACGAATGCGAATATTTTGCAAGTGGACGTATATATGCCAAAAAAATTACATATTGTAGCCAATATTTTTGCCTGTGGTCGTAGGAGTATTTATGTAACAAAACTTGTCAAATGTCATATTTATCAACTTTGATAAAAATGTCTTTAAAATATTATTTCTTAAGCTATATAACCGAGCTATCAATGGGCAGCCATAAAAGTTCCCACTTCTACTTTACCTTTGACGTACGTCAAAGAGAACATAGTCCTTTTAATAATATTTTTTTTCTGTGCTTTAAATACCTGCTTTGGCTTCTTTCTTTATTATGATTTTTTTTGGACCAATCTTAAAAAAAAACTACTAGACACAGAAGAAGAAAGTGTGCACTCTAATTCTTAACAAAGTTTTCGTGATTTGCTTTTAATGTTATAGGCGGCATATACGGTGCGTCTGACTCGTGAGTCGGTTTGGATGTGTGTGTGAAAATAAATATGTATTAGTTAAACCAACATGACTCCCGGCGTGACCCTGAATGATTCAACTTTGTGTAGTCGAAGGCGAGTCAACACGTACACAAATGACTCGCGAGTCAGACGTACCGCGTATGCCACCTATTACATATATTCGTTTGAATAATTTCATATGGGGCTCTTTGGGGAATTTATTTTTAGCAAAAATTTTAAAACCAGTAGTTTTGTTTACTTTTTGGATAATATTTTTTTCATAGGCATATACATTGGATCCTTGGCTAAAAACTTCTGTGGTAAAACTGTCCCTTCTTTGCTATTTAAAGTCAATGAGTAAGCTCCGTCAATACGGATTTCCAGTAGAAATGATCAACGTCTAGCTATAAAGAGAATCGATGCTCAAATAATTAGAAAGCTTTAGGTCTGACCTTTAATTAGATAAGAATTACGTAACTATCAAAGGCTTATAAAAAAACGGGGTGATTTAAAAAAAAAAAATAACAATATTCTGATCCGATTCGGCTGGCAGCCACGACTTTGAAAACAGAATTTTGTTCAAAAATAATAATCTATTTTCCATATCCACCTATTTAGCTCGCTATAAGCACAAATTTTTCAAAGCAGTCGCAGAAGAAAGTATTAAAAATGAATTAGAAAAATTAAATCGAAAAGTGCTGATAATGTTACAGGTACTCAAAATTCTGAAACAACATGACATATGTATCTGGTTTGGCTTGTAAGCGCTGTTAAAACAACGATCTCGCCACTATGCTAGATTCTAATTGTTTTTTAAAAATACTTGACATCCGCATTCGCATCCGCTTCCGCGGATGTTAGCTATTAGATATTCGCATCCGCATTCGCATCCTCGGATGTCTAAAATTCCACATCCGCAACATCACTAATTCAGAGTATAATCATTCGAATACAAACTTTTTCCCAAACTAAATATTTTATCCAACGGAAAGTGCAAATGTAAGACATGCTTAAGGAAACGGTTTCTTCTTCTTGCTATTTTTATGTAACCAACAACGAATGAAATTATAAATGCACATTTAATGGCCAAATCGGAGGCGACTACTTTTGAAAACAATCAGCTATCAAATCACTATATAAAACTACTATTTGTTGCGAATTTTGGGTATACGGCGTCATTGGTGCACACTTTTGCAAGAACAGAATAACTGGGACCACCATCGTCAACAGAAAGTATGTACTACAAAAGAGTGATAACCAATTTCTTTTGACCCAAATTCATATGGTAATGTCGCAGGTCTGCACCACATCCATCGTTTCTTTAATACCCTAGGCATTTAAAAATAATTTTGCCCTAGATTGAGTTAGATTAGAGGGACACTTCCACCCAGAGGTTTCGTTATGGTACCATTGGAAAACTCACTTATTTTCGTCCGCTCACTTAGAAAGAGAACCCATTGCCTATATTAATAAAATGAGAGTCCATGAGTTACAGTCCATCAGATGGTCAGACAAGTAGTGGTGAAATGAATCTCTTCTAGCTCTTGCGACGGCTGGGTAGAGAAAGAGATCACACTCTATGCTTTCAATTACTTCCTCTTCATGGCAGCTCCGGCAAAAGTTATTGGCAAACAGCTTCAGTTCACCTAGCACGCCTTCCCATTAAGCACTGACGATTATAATTCCAGCTACTTGCCTCCGTCGAGGATGTTTAACGCGGTTAAGTGAAGTTGACCTTTTCTTGTCGAAAGTGGGCCAGATTTATCGACCGTCCCACGTATTTAACTTTTTATAAATAAAGCCATTAAGGATTTACAGCATTCCAACGAATTTGTAGCTTATTGGCTATCCGAACAGATAGTTGCGGAGAGCTGGTTAAAAAAAGAAACGATAGAACAAAGTGCAACTGATTTTATGTCTGGGAAAACGATGCAGTAATCCGGCAACCTAAAACCAATGTTCAATGAAAGGTTTTACAATTATGTCCCGCTTCCTCTTTTTATATTTAGTTCTAAGCCATCCATGTGAATGGCTTTAGAGTTATTTTTATTGTAAACCCAGCAACGAATCATCATCTTAATCATTCCCAGAAGGAAAACGTTTGAAGAATTCTGGGGACGTAAAAATTCCTATTAATCTTGGCAATTTTTAAAATTCCCTTTGGCACAACTCAAAAATCAGATCCGAAAATATAACTGCTTGTGGATGGTTCCGTATAGCAGTAGTTTTCTAGCTAGAGAATATAATCACGAAGAAAAATATATTTACATTAATTGGAGATTAATCCTATGAATTGAGTTATGCATTAAAATCGACCTAAAATATTTTTTTTAGTTACCCAGTGTTATCAGTTCGTCGGAATATTAATTTTTTTTTCTTGTTTTTTTTTATGTATGTTACCGCGTAACGTTAAGCGATTTCTATAATTCTTATTTTAGAGGAAAGGTTTTACCTTAAAGGTGGCCCCAAACTAATTTTGTTTAAATCCGATCAATACTTTTAATATATTAAAGCGCAAGTTTGAAGTAGCTAAAACTTATTGTTGATTTTTGTCAATTTTTTGTTCGCCCATTTTCTTGCGTATAAAGTATGTTTGACAATTTTTTTGTATGGAGCAAATGAGCAACACCTTTCAGAAAAAATTTCCAAACGTCAACAGTAAGTGCCAGCTACTCAAAAGTTGTAATATGCACTAAAATATAATTTTATACAAAACTGCATACTTAGGTTGTTTCTAAGAAATTTAATTGAAAAGCTCAAAATTTTGATGAAACTTTGACGAATTTCGCTATTTTTTGCACAATTTGAAATTTTGACATACATACTAGTTTTTGTTAGAAAACACGCTACTCTTTCATAGAAAAAATTATAAACATTAAATAAACGAAAGGGAAATAATGTTTAAATGTCGCTTCCCCATTTATATTTTCGCTACTGTATGTATATGAAAATTAGACCGTACCAACTTACACGAAAACAAAAAAAAAGTTCGCCGTACACCACTGAGTCTACAGTAAATTGCAATATAATTACGAGAAGAGGTTTTTTTTTGCCGAACTTAGGTGTCGCTTTTTTATATTTTTCGGTGGCACTTAGGGTGGTATTATCACTTGCGAAGCGAATGATTTTGGCGAAGCGAAAGGTTTGGCGAAGCGAATTAAAATGCAGTGAAGGTATAAAAAGTGTTCGCGATGCAAAGAACTGGCACAAGCTGGTAAAAGCGAACACTCTTAATGCATATTTAAGTTGCGTCCTTCAATCCATTCGCTTCGTCAAAACGTTCACTTTGCCAAATTCATTCGCTTTGCAAGTAATAATACCGCTCTTACATACATTCGGCATTAAAAACTTTTAGTAAGTAGTAGAACGGGGTACTTGAGAAATTTTACCCTCGATACCAGAACGTCGATACCGACCGTAAATGCCGAAGATATGACGAACAGACAAAAAAGTAAAAAGCCAACCTCTACATTCGGCCAAAACAAAAAAAGAATAAAAATATTTTTTTCTGGTATGCTCTAATGTGTGTACATACATAAATATGTATTTGACAAACTTTCTCATACCAAGCTCGCATCACTTACTCACTCACATCAATCAGACATCACTTAAAACTCATTTAAATGTCTGTAACTTACATACATACAAGCAGCTGAAAAACTACGAAAGATAGAAAACAAGACCAACAACAAGTTTGGATAAGAAAATCCAGCACAAAAACTTTTGACTATGAATTTTATGTAAGCAAAAGTTGATGCGGCACTTTGACACTGCAATTACGAACGCCAGCAGCCGCCGAAAAAAATTAGCTACTAATCAGCGTATCAACATTTGTAATATGCGGCGACAGAGGATTAAGAGGAAAAGTGAGCCATGCAAGAGAAAGGCTAATTTTAGATTGTTGGAGTTGTCGGAGGTTGAGCGAGTCAAAGTGAAAATGCTAAGCGTAGGTATAAGCTGGCGCCAACTTAAACGAAGAGTGATATACTTATACACCACTGCTTGTGGTTTCAAGTAAAAGGGGACCATGAAATTTGCTGTCAGATAATTTGCAAGCACCACACCAATACCGCCACTAACGCCACAGCCGCTGCCACCAATAAAGTCGGGGCTAATGATATTTACGCTGATGAAAACCATAATGTTGATGAGCTAAAGATGCTGACAGAAATTTTGTAAACACCCTTAGCGCACTTGCCTCGGTCCCGCCAGCGTCACTAAGCTCAAGGTGGCGTGAACACTTAGCTGCCAGTGACAATGCTGCTTGGCTGTAACATTTGTAAATCTCTCAAAAATAAGGACACCCGCACGCATTGCCAACGGATGTAGCGACAATTCGCGCACGCTCCTCTTCCGCCGGGTTTGAGACACAGCCAACTACACCCCTACACACCAGTGTCAGCTGGGGGACGGGAGATTTACGAAAATCTGCAACTAACTATAAAGTTTTGCGCAAGTAAGCCGCAAATGACAACAATAACAATAAAAGTAACTAGTAACACCAACACGAGTGACAGTAAGTAAGTAAGTGAAAAAATAATAATAAAAAGCGTCGAGAAAGTGTTAAACAAGTGTTGAATTATATGGAAAAGTGCAATGAAGTGAAGCAGCTCAAAATTACGCTGCAACAGCAAAACCACTGATGATGCAACTGCTACACTCTACGCGTTGTGGCAACAGCCGAAGTTTGACTGCATGTGGCCCTGTGTATGAGTGCAGGAGTGCGTTAGCAAGCGATGGTGCGGTATGCAGCGGGGGAGCACGCAATGCTAGCGGAAAATGCAAAATTAGTATTCATGCCTGCAGTGTCATTTCTAGTGCGCCGCATATCCGCCGCGCAAACTTTCGCAAGCACGCGGAACAAGTTGAAGATTGATAGGCCACGCCAGCCAAATGCTTGGCAGATAGAGAGATAGAGAGAGAGAGAGAGGATAGGGGTGGGCGTTGGGTTGGCTGTATAGTAGAAACGCACCGGATGCTGTGGCCGCGTGACGCGTGAAATGAACTTTATACCGCAAATGAAGCAAAGCGAAATACGCGGTATGGTAATAACAACAATAACAACAATTGCATTTGTTTACATCTGCAAAATCCATCGCACTAAATTTTTCAAATGTAAATTTTAAATCAGAATTTTTCTAAAAACATTATATAAATTACATATGTAAGTGATGTAGTATTTTTTCCTGAAATTGGATTGAAAAAATTTAATCCTTTGTATAACCACGTCATAAGGATATGAACGACAGTAGAAAATATTTTATTCTCAGCAAGGCCGCCAGAGAAGCGGTCCTACATCCAAAAAATTTGTTTGTCAAATTTTTTAATAAAATTTTTCAATTTAGCAAAATAAATTTATTTTCTAATTTCGTATCAGCCCCGAAATTCTTAGTGATCTTTGTAAAGTAAATGCATGGTTTTTTTGGCTTTTCGAAATAACGTCTATATAGGCTTAGATAAAATTATTACACCAGGCATCATGTAAACAACTATAGTCGTTAGAAAACCGAACTCTGGAATTAACAAAGAAAGACAAATTTATCCATTTACCCATCCATCAAGTTTCTCTAAGCCTCCCAGCTGACGGTCGAAAAATGGGTTAAACAAAAAAATGTTTCTGATGCAGATAGTAAATTTATAAAAAAAATTATTTACAATACATAAAGTGCGTATTTTAGAATAATTTCAAAAAAAATAAAATAAAAAGTTATAACAAAGGCCGGGATATGAGTCCTCTGCCTCTTTTCAATATGGTGTACAAGTTTTCTCGAATCCAAATTTTACGATGCCCACTATTTCCGTATCAAACAAATTCATGAAAATTCCTATCTATAAATTTTAAAGAACGAGAGTTGTTTCTATAGCAGTATTCCCGTTCCCTTAGTAAGTACAACTTCATGGGTCCCTAAGTAAGACCTTGAACAAGAAGAAGTGTTACAATTTCGAGTTCGTCGACATCTTTCTACCAGTCTTATCGAGTATTGTATATGTAAAACTTGAGCTCCAGCGACCGAAATATCCGCATTCTGCTATGATCACTGGGTATTATATCACCCGTATGTACGTATGTACGTACTACTGGATTTCACTAAATTTTTTCACATTTTTCTTCTAAAGTGGTGCTTGCGACTGGCCTGCCCTTCAGAGCAGCTTTCTCGGCGATTGCTGCACAGCATGTAAATCCTTAATTATGACATTACTTTGCATATTAGCGGGCACGTGGTTATACACACGCTCGTACTAATGCGCGCACACACACACACACATGCATACACAAACGCCATTGGAGTGAGCAGCAATTTACAGCCGTTAACAAAGTTACGCTGCTCACTCATTCACACAAAAAGCTATATTTTATTTTTTTTGCTTCACTCTTCCTCTTCCAACTACTTACTTCAAGTTATTATGATAAATAGCGTTGGCTGAGCAGCTACAGCAACAATAATAACAGCACAAGTGTGTGTGGTGTGTGCAGTTAAATGTAGTCGTAGTTGAAGCGTGGTAGCGCATGGGTAGATATCAACTACTGCCGCGTCGGCATGACACTTCCTTTTTGACTGTCACATGCTTCCTTACTGTCTGAGGCGTAACTATCAGCAAAGCAATTTTTTTTTTAATTTTTTCGCTTAACTGTAAAACTTTTCTATGCACTTAATATGCGTTGCAAGTTATTATCGAAAGCAAGTTTTAGAGCAGCAAGTAAAAAGGAGTGCTTGCGCATGCGCGCCTCTTCTTTTATGTTTAAATTCTTTCTCTGCTTTGTCGCCGCCAAATAAAAGTGCGTGATGTGAAAGTCAAGTGGCATTTTTCATTTAAAAACGTATGTTTTAATACAGACTTCCTTTGAGTTTGCTGAGCTTTGTGGGAGTAGTTCAACTGTTGGTTGAACCAAATCCTTTGAGTGACACTGACACCGAGGTACTCTTCTGTTTAAGCATTTTAATAAAGACGAGGAAGACATATTCCTTTGTTAAATGTCATAAAGTTTTGTATTCACATATGAGCAAGTTTATGCAAACTTTATTAAAAACAAAGTATGTTAATATTAAAAGAAGTCTATCTGGTTGCAGCGATGTGTATACTTTGAGCTGCTTGAAAAATAGTAAATTGCTTATAGGATTATTTGCTGTGATGAAAAAAGTTAGTTACTGATATTTTCTTGTATAAAATTCTTGCCGCTGCTTTACATTTGTTTTATTTTTATAAACGCGGATCATTCTGCATCGATATTCGACAACTGACAACTTTTCTGACAAAATTAATAAAGCAACTAAAAGAAAAGAAAAATTCAGCAGGAATTAGTATGACAGCAATAGAAAAAACTTCTGAGTCTATTACCTCACTATTACGGGAAGATACTGGCTAAAGGGCTAAAAAGAGCTAATACATGCTCGGACCACTAGTTGAAGTCCACTTTACTGGCCACACCGATCATTCAAAGGGTCGACTATTATACTATAATTATTTGGCGTTAAAACCCCAAAAATCATTGCTCAAGGAATTGCACATAGTAGGAGAAATTTTCAAACATTGTCTAATTTTTTCTGCATCAAACTAATTTAAAACTCTCCGTAAAAATTTATAAATTAGTATTTTTTCAATCAAAAATATTTTACTTGTCCAAGTGGCAAACTTCCTCAAAAACATTTACAAACCATAACTTTAAATCTCTTGACCTTTTGATATACTTATGTAAATTTAAATGAACTTATAAAATAATTTAAATTTAAACAGGTGGCAACCATCTAAATAACGTAAAAACTACTACAAATTTTAGTGAGCGCTAAATTTCCAGCCGATTCATTTCATCCAATTTTAAATCCGCATAATAAGTTCTAACTTCAAAAAAAAAATCCTTGCTATACATCCACAGGTCTACCCTTTTATTTGAGACCCCATTTTTGAACTTCGAACGAACGGTGCTGACGACTATCACAAAAAATGGATAATTAAATAGATATAAATTTTCGAATAGGTGGCAACCCTAATTAAAAATAATTTTAAATTAAAAACATCTTAAAACTCTTTTGTTTAACACTCATATTTTAATATTTCATATAATTTGTGTACATTATAACTAGGCTCGACTTTTCAAAAAGGTGGCAACCATCTTCACTTTTAGTATAGAAATAAATCCCTTCCAAGCCATTTCAATTAATACTCATCTGTTAATAATTCATTAAATTTATTAACTAATCTGAATGGCAACCCTCTTCGAACACCAATGAAATATTCTAAATGTTTAAGTAAAAAATTTATTAACACTATTCCGCTTGACATCTATATAACTTATGTTTAATTTAATGAAATTCGACTTTTCGAGCAGATGGCAACCCTCTTTAAAATATCTTCAAACTAAAACCTTTTAAAGTCTATTTTGTCTCTAATTGTGATAAATATTTTAATTAGCTGATGAACTAAGTTGTTTTTAACCTTTTTAAACAGGTGGCAACCTCCTAAATTTAGTTTAGAATTAAAGCCTTCTTAAAACTATTTCGATTGATACTTTCAATAATTAGTTTTACCTGAGAAATAATATGACTTTAACCTTTTAAACAGTGGGCAGCCACCTTCAAACACCTAAAAAATATTATAAATGTCAAAAGTAAATATTTCTTAAAATTCGTTTGTATGTCACTCATATTATTTATTATTGCATATGGATATCGTCGTTTAAAGTACAAAACCACGTATCGTCGTTCTGCAAAACCGCATAACTGGCATTTTTTGCCAAAAATGGCATTTGCTCACACAATCTATTAGCTCAACAAGCTCACAAGCTCTTAGCTCAATCCTTATCCATTCGGCCTGAAATATACTAGCCAGAAATGCGACTACTTTACAAAAAAGAGAACGATTTTGAAATATGAGTGTTTTTACTCTCTAGAAAATAATTTATGCAACCTCCCATACGCGGTTTTGCATTGTCTTGATACGCAGTTTCGGATTTTGTTGAAACGCGGTTTTGTACCTTAAACGACGATATGTAACTTGTGTTTAATTTAAATAAATTCAGATGGCAACCCTGTTTAAAATATTTTCAAACTTAAACCTTCTTAAATCTCTTTCGTCTATAATTGTGATACATTCTTCAGTTAAGTGATGAATTAAGTTGAACCAGTTTTTAAATAGGTGGCAAC